ATAAGGTATTTCTCCCACTTTCCTTACGTGCCTTCGTGGTGTAGTGGTTCTGCATGCTGGGCCGGTATTCCAGAGGTCCGTGATTTGACTCTCGGCGAAGGCGGTTGCTAATTTTTCATCTTGTTTGGTTCCAAAAAATACCTAATGTCTCTACAACTTAAAACACAATTTAATCTTTTTATCTAGTGCCATGTATAAATTGTTGTACTATTCGTTCGTTAATATGAAAAATTTGTTATAAAAGTGCACAGTATGGCTGATTCAATATTTCACTTTTGCATTTTTTGGGCCAGGAGAATTTATCATGAAAGAATAACATAGCTTACTTTTTGCTAGTCTATCAATAGCTCGCTGAGCATACCTCGTACTGAAATATAGATATAAGGTTTATCGACCTGCGTAAAAAAACAACAATTATTATTTAAAGATCCCAAAAACTCATGTCAAAGGAAAAAAAAGAACATGGATAATTATTAACAATATTTATTAATTCAAAGTAGCTATGGATAAAGACAGGTTTAGAATTTACTTTGTTGCCTTAACATCAATGGGAAAACTGAGTTTGCCTTTCCCTAGCCAAGGAATCGTAATTAGGTGTATATCCTGACAAAGATAATAATAATAATAAATCTTCAGTATGGGAATCAGTCAGGACAGAATGTTGTTTAATCTTTGTTAGTTTCAAGTATGAAAATACTGATGCACATAAATATGTATTCTTTATGTAGATCCAAAAGAAGAAATGGATATATTCGCTACATTTGGTGATTCTGGGATATTTTTCTCGGTTGACATATTTCCAAATATCTTCTACAAATTTGTGGGCTTTTAAGATTAAGTCAATTTTTAAAATTGTAATTTCACTTTCTAATGCCTTTTGATCCATATGAAATATGTCTGAAATTTTTCGGCTAATGCGTTTCACACTTAAATCGGTTTTAAAAGGAAAAGATATTAATTCTACAATTTCTTTAAAGTTTACTAAATCCTGGAATCTTATCTCAAAATCTTCAGTTACTTTTTGGATTTCCGTGGCATAGTTATCGATCTTATAATTAATATTTTTCTGTTTTTGTAGGTTATTCACCATATTTGGAAAATGATTCAGATTATTTTGTTGTAGATTTCTGTTAGAAAATAAATTTTGTTTTATATGCATCTATGCAGCTGATCATACCAATTACTATTTTATTCTTATAATTCTAAATTTATATGGCTTAATATTGAAGTAAAATCGGTAAGAAATGCTAAGTCAATAAGCCAAGTTTCATCATTTAAATTTTCACAGTTTCCATCTTGTTCGTGAAGATAATCTATACTTTCACGCAATAAATCAGGAATCGCTGCAAAAATTTACCTCTGCTTAGTCATCTCACACCGGTATGTAGTAATAATGCAGGTTGGCCTTCATCAAGCTGCAGCTGGAAGAGACGCTGTTTGAGGGAACTTCTTCGAATTGAATTAACAATTTTAAAAGCAATGTTTATTACCTCTTTTGTGTTTAGTCTCTTGCTAGCTAACGCTTGCTGTTGAATTATGCAGTGATAGCTTAAAAAGGCAGGGAATTCATCTTCCTTTTGACATAAAGGGCTATAAATCCATTTATGCTACCTATCACTGCAGTTGTGCCCTCCATTGTTATAGAAATTAATTTAATAAATGGTACTTTCAAATCATTGAGCAAGTTTTTAAAGTCTTTGAATATGTCTACACCTCTCGTCCTTTCCTTCAAAGCTATTATCTGTATTACATTGAGAGAAATAATAACAATAATGCCTATTATGATCGGACACAGCAGTAAAAGTGTATTAAAATCTAATATTCAAATTTACAAGAAGTATGTTACTTGTAAAGTTACAATATATTTAGTACAATTTAAATACTGAAATCTTAATTTAAATGTTATTGTTATTCCTAATATATTTTTAATACTGTCCCTTATTTTTCTCTCAGTTTAATAACCGCAGTTTAGAGCTTTGTTGCTGAGAATGTTAACTTGTCGAGTAAAAAGATATGTAAAAAAAAGAGTTTTTAATTTAAAACAAAGAAAAGGTACTTGCGTTTTAAACAGAAGAAAACTTGAAACCGAAAGTGGTCACTGAGGCTAAATAATACTGATTAATAATTACACTGTTAATACAAAAGGAAAGAAGCTACCATATGACACTACCAAATATTCAAGCTAACTGACTGTGTTCTTCGATGAGTCGAGCCCTAACTATTGCGTCCAGTGACAAGACATAAGTCAAAATGTATTGTGCTGGATGAAGGGAGATCAAATTGTCAGGCTGTCAGAATTCTAGGAATTTATGATTTCAGCAAATTCTCAGAATGCATTAAATTATTGCTAAAAGGTTTTCTCTTCTGCAGTTGCTTCAAAGTCCATTGTATATGAAATTCCACTCCAGTCATTGCCAGTGATCGACCAAAATTAGCCTCCCGTTTGACCTTGTTGGCCACCCCTGGTATAGATGATCAGAGAAAAACATCCCAATATTACAGCTATTTATTGTGTTATATACTGTCAAGCCTTGGTAACTAAGACACTTAAAATTATGCATCAAAATTGTTAATCACATTAAAAAGAGTGCTCTTACTCTTACTTGACTTTTTATGGCCCTTTGTGAAGATATGGGAACAAAATATAAAACGGTGTTATTTCACATGGAAGTACACTGACTCTCAAAAGGAAGTATGTTAACAAGATTATTTGAACTTTGAGATGAAATGATTCTTTTTTTTTTTTTTTTTTTGAAATTCAAAATCAAACTGAATTTATGTGGAATTCCAAAAGCTGAGTGTTCAAGTTACACTCAGCTTTCGGAGGTCAATAAGTTTAACCAATTGAAAATATTTTCTTATCTATCAAATATTTTCAGTTGGTTAAATGTATTGAACTTGAAATTACATGTTGGAGATTCGAACATAATTTATCATTGAGATGTTATCATAGCATATACCGATAAATTGCAACTCTGGGAGTGTAAAACTTCAGCCTGTAAATATTCCTGCTTTCCCAAATCATTTAAATATCTATAGAATTGTGACAGATCCTTTTCACATTGCCATAGATGTGCTACCAAAATACTACAAGAGCAAGCTTTGGAAATTAAAAATGATTCTACAGCCAAATATAACTGAAAAGATGGATAAGCTATTATTTTGGATAAAATGTCTATCAAAGTTTATCCAGCATAGCAGAGGAAGCACTACAGCTGTGTTTATCATTTCAAACACTTATTTGTGTGAAAGAGCATTTTGAGCAGTTGTAGCTAAAAAACAAAATATATAAGCAAACTCAATATTGCTAGTGATTTGCATTGCACACTTTCTTCTCTAGTCAACCAAGAATTGAATATCTTGTCAAAAATGCGCAAGCACATCTGTCTGATTGATTTATCCATTTTTTTTTCGTACCGTGTGTGTCTGAAACAGCATACTTCTGTAATAAAATATTTATAAATTATATTTTTTTGCTCGTGCTACTCATATAGGTAGATAATATTATTATTAGGGAAAGGGGCGCAGGAAGTTTCATTTTCTTAAGTAGGGAAGCGTGATTTAAAAAAAAAAAGATTTGGGGAACCCATGATCTAGAGAAAGAAATCATATACAATATGAATAACTATTGGAAAAACAAGAAAATGCCTGTAAATATCCAGACATCTTTTCATTAAAAATGTTCACTAAAAGTTTCACTGCTAATTTTCTTGCTTGGGCTATTATGACTAAAACCTTTGTTACAGTTTTTGGTTCTTCACTTTGGTTTCCACTAACCAAGATCTTAAACTTCATTTATTATTTCTGTTGATCCTGTCTTCAGTATTTTTTCAACTAAAAGGCTTATTATCTGAACTTTTCATGCTTAGAAAGAATAAACAGAAGACCATTTGAGATAAATACTGAAAAAAATTTTCATTTTTTCTTTTTTTCTTTTTTTTTTTTTTTTTTTTTTTTTTTCCTTATCTCAGTTTTCTGGAAGATTATCAAGTGGTGCAGCTCAAATATTATGTCCATAAAGTGTTCCTTGTACCAGTATGATAGCAATACTGGTCACAGGATAATTTGAAGATCATGAAAGTGAGGTTGATCATCATCCATAGCATAAATACTAAATTGATCTGATCATTATTGATCTACTGTAATGTCTTTTGGAAGAGAAAGTTGTGAGATATTTTCCTTCATGAACATTTCATAGTTAACTAGCCAATATTCGGAAGGAATGACTTTTTAATTCTCCTGACCAAACCAAAATAAATCTCTTGTACCTAAGAACTGATCCTCTGTTGGATGATATAGAAAGTGTCATATTGTACTGATAGTTTTCCTAAAACCAGATATTTCAGTTCTATTGAGCCATCAACAACTGAATGGCCAAGTCACTAAATACTGTACTTCATCCAAAATTCTATTTGTGACAGGTAGGTAAATGGGCTGGCTGCATGGAATTTTTATGATTTTTCTCATGTATAATTTTTATATGTTTTCTTTTAAGCAGATGCAATGTCCTTTGTTTTCATTAGGTAATAATTCTAAATCCCTGTTTCTTCTAAGCAGATAGTAGATTAAATATTCTTTGTTGTCATTAAATAATCCTTCCTAATACAGTTTCTGTCTAATGTCTGTGATTTCATTATGATTGCTGATGACATGCAATTGCATAGATGTTAAAGGTGGTTGTACATCCTTTATCTCGTTAAAGTTGTGTCCATTCATGTATTTTCATTAAAACGTTTCTCAAAAAAAGGTATAGAATTTTGTGAAACATTTTAAACATTGAAAGTGTGGTCTCTGCAAATATAAAAAGGCGACACATTTAATATGAGTGTGATCCAGTTTGTATTAATGAAAGGAATATTTCAGCACTGTAAAATTTACAGTTTTGCTCCTACTTATCACCATATTTGTGGTCTGACAAATTACAATATATTCAGGTTAAAATTAGATGCTGCTGCTCTTACTGCTGTAATAATATTTTCCAATTTTCGATTGCTTTTTAGCCATATCTTCCCAAGAAGAGTGTCGCAGTACTCCGGCATTAATTCATGCTAGTGAACCTATGGTACAAGTTGATGGACCACAGATGAGTGGCAGTCTAGCAAACTTAGGTGACACATACACTAGATTGAGTGTATCATTAGAAGAAAATGGACTTTATAAGGTATTTCTGTTGTATTCTGACACTTTTATGCTCTTAGTTTGTAATGTTGCTGTATTATGTGGCATGTGATACTGTAGTCATTTGCTTAGCCAGTAATATAATTTGCAAATTTCAAAGAAATATTTATTTTTATATTCATTTCTGTTTAAGTATGCCTTTATTCTTTTAAAATAATCTTTACATTTTTCTTTATGAAAGGTCTATTTTTCTCTCATAATCAAAACAAAGGTGCTGCAATATTATTTATTCAAACAATAATATCATAGGAGAAATTAAGACGATCATTTTAAAATTTTTTGGAATAAATCAGTTAATTTTAAATAAACTAACTTCAGAATCAGTAAACATGATAGTTAAACTAGGAAACATTTAACTAAAAATAAATTTTTTTAATTAAAAAGATTAAATAATTAGTTGACAAATAATAAATCCAGATATTTCCCAATATATGCTAAAATGTGTACTTGAAGTCACTTTGTGAATTTGTGTGCATAAATAAATTAGAAGTCAAATATTGCATAGCTTATGAAACAAAAATTGAGGTAAAGTTAGTCTTTAGCATAATAATTTTTAACCAACTTTTGTTATTAATAATGGGTTGTTTGGAAAGTAATTACCATCAGAGGCAATAGTTGCATTTTTAGCCTGCCAACTTCATTCTAAATGTATTAGCATCATATATTTTGATAGCTGAAGTTAACAATTTCACTATTGATTCAAAAGTGTGCTTCCCTCAACTAGACAAACTGAATGATATGATCAAACAGAAAATATTTTCTCAAATTACCTTTTGAATACAGCGGTTCTAATTATTTAACTAAAGGGTATAAAGTTATTAAAAGAGATTTTAACTCATTGTTTGTTATTGCTTTTCCTTCTAAGTTACTTTATGTTACCTTCTGGTGACATTTGTTTTTTATAGGGGCAACTATCATCATTAGAACTTTAATTTCTCATGGAAGGCAAAAATATAAATTAAGAACTTAAGGAAGTAAAAATATCTTTTCATTATTCAAAAATTAAATATAGGCAGGATTTTCTTAATAAAGGTTACATATGCAGAAAATTTTGTATTGTTCAAGTAAAATAATATGCATAAATAGGTAGCAATGAATTAATGAAAAAAGTTACTGCAACTTTGTTTTTATGTGCAGCAAAATTCCAATCACCCCTGTAATTTATTTTGCTGAACACTCAAAATCAGACATTTAAAATTTGTGTGTTTCATTAAATTCATTTCATTTAGGATGCGCACAAATACTAAATAATAAGACAGTTAAAAATTCATGTTTTTATTTTGATTTCTTATTTTTTAATAGTTTTTTTGCAACTCTTATTTTTTAATATTTTTTTTTTTTTTTTTTTTTTTTTTTTTGCAACTTATTAAAATGTCCAAAAATATTAGAATAAAATAATTCCTTTCGTTTCTTTTGTTGAATTTATGTAAAAAATAATTAAGAACACTGCCTTCTTAAGAATGTGTATTTTTACTTCGTTGTACAAAGTAAAAAGGAAGTATTGTAATCGCGAAAAGTTTCAGGCAGCATATTTCAACGAAAATATCCATTTTGACCGCTATCGAATGCAATTTAACGATGTTTTTGTGTCATATCTGTACATAAGGACAGAATAAAATACTCTTTTCCTTCAAAAAAATTATAAAACTGCTTTAAAATTAATTCTGAAGAGAATTTTTCGTGGCATCTGTACGAACGTATGTACGTACGTACGTATCTCGCATATCTCAAAAACGAGTAGCCTCAGAACGTTGAAATTTTGTATATAGGACTGCTATAACAGGTAGATGTGCACCTCGTATTTTGGTTGCAATCGGCCGCACCAAACGTATATAAATATATTTATATATATATCCACTCTATTACCCGACTCAGTGATCTCAGTTTCTTTACTCTTATATGTTGGTAAATTGTACATTTTTTGCTTTAAAAAATGATTGAATTATGTTGTTTTTTATCTTCCGGTTAAGGATTTTATGCCTTTAGTAAATCTGTGTGCAATATTTTAGAATTATCAGCAATTTTAAAGTTGTTTAATTGCCGCTAAGCCTGTTTTTAATGGCAGCCATTGATGTTTACATTTGAAACAGGAGACTAGTGGATTTGTTGCCAATCTAGAGAAACTTAGCTTCGCAACAACAAAGATAACACATTCATTTATTATTGTAAATTAAATCATGCTTAATTCTTTCTGGAATTTTTTCGGGGAAATAAGCGTTTGAGATTTACTTCGTAATTTTTAATATAGATATTTTGAGTTTTTATGTATTTTTGCCTTCTCGCGGAGTGAGAACTGAATTAATTAAATGAGAAATAGTCAATCGTCTGTGGAAAACTGTTTCTGTTTTTTTTTTTTTTTTTTTTTTTTTTTTTTTTTTTTTTTTTTTTTTTTTTTTTTGTTTGTTTGCTTAATTTCTTTTATACATCGTTCTAGCTTTATTATAGTATTTGAATAGAACATGTGGCAACGATTAGATAATTCTCTAAATGCTATACATTTTGTGCATTCTGAGTTATAATATGAATGACATATAATATTGTTAAGTAAACCTAGCACCAGAGTGTCGCTATGGTAAACAAAGTGAATTTTAAAGAATGCATTTTGTCATAAACCACATTATATTGTGGTTTATGCGCTGTTGGCGAAGTAGGTTTAATTCAATCTAATAAGTTTAAATAAAATGCAAGAAAAAATGCGTATAATTTAATATTCCGTACAAGGAAGTCATGTGGTGTACACATCAGATTTTTTAATTTAAATGTAAACATTGGTAATTTCTTTTACATTAAATTATCAATGCAGAATAATTGAAAAATCAGTATTTTTTTATAAAATCCATTTTGCTTTAACTGCAGCTTTTAATTTTTGTCATTAAAATGATAATTAATCCCCTGCTAATTCTTTCTTCTTGTCCCTACCTTGTACTAACTGTCAAGAATATTTTTTTTAATTATGAATTTTTTTAATATTTGATTGATGGAATCATTATTTAGTATGATTGAGAATGAGCTTTGTGTGGGACAATGAAAAATTTGAAGTGCTGTGCGTGAACTATAATGAATAAGAAATTAATGATGTTTTCAAAAACATTTTTTTTTAATAAATTTGTTTTAGATCTACTTCTTTTGTAGCTATGTAAATCGTTCTCAACAAAAATGTTTACTTCTTTCATCTTTCATAATAGGACCTGTGCACTTCTATTTGTTCTTTGTGTATCATCTTACTTCTTTTTATAAGCTTTTAGTCTCTCATGGTATTTCACTATGGTTGAGATTCTGTCATAAATATTTAATTTACTTCCTGATAAACTATCAAGTTCAAATTTTGTACATAAACTGTTGGGCGGGCAATGGATTGTGGTGAAAGGATTTTTTTTTTTCAAAATTTGATTTAATTTGTTTTTTGTTTTGTTTTGTTTTGTTTTGTTTTTTTTTTAATATTTTTCAAACCTATTGTAGTTTAATGAGTAAATATATCAGAATTTTTCTGTTTGCACCATCAAAAATAGATGGGAAAAAAATCTTTTCAATAAAATGTATGAAAATTAAATCTTAATTTCTGAATATTTGGCAATTTTTTTTAATTACCTGATATTTTAGACTATTTGATGTTTGATTTAAAAAATTTAACATCTAGAATGTATTGGATATAATGTTTTGAAATTTTCATGGATTTTAAAACAAACTTTTTTTGCCCTATTTTAAAATAAGAGTAATTAAAGAATTTTAATTAATCTAGTTTTTACATTTTTAAAAAAATGTGTTTCAGTCTGAAGCTGCTGGAAGAAAAAAGCTTTTTTTTGGGGGGGGGAGGCAGAAAAATTGCTTCAGAGTTTGCCATCTTGGCACACTTCATGATGAATTAGTAGTATTTTTTCATTTTAGTTTCGAGTAAAATTCTAATTGTAGCATTGCTATTACATCCATGAATGACGTTCAGTTATTTTTTCTTATTTCATTAACTTTTTTTAATAATTTATTCCTTGTGATTTAGTAATGACCAAAAATTTCATCAATAGCATGTAATTGACTTTTTTTTAAAAAATTTAATAAAATACAATTAAAAAACGGTTTTTATGCAATAAGCTTTTATTTAAAGTATATATTATATAATGTTTTAAAAGGAGAAAATGCGGCGGCCTCTTCTCAGGAGCATCATAAAATATTGCAAAAGATTAGTTATTAATTAAATCAAGAAATTAGCTTCACAAAAAGAAAAAGAAACAAAGAAAACAAGTAATATAAAAAAATCTGAAAGGTTTCAGATTTTATACGTACTCAAACTATAAAATTCAGTTCAACAGCAATATCACAAATTAATTTTAAATTGAGCATATCTTTAAAGTTTCCGATAAAGAGTCTCACGCGCTGGAGATAATTTTTTTTTTTTTTTTTTTTTTTTTTTTTCATACAGTATAGCGTTTAGTTTTTTAATAAGAAATTCATTGAAGTGCTGCAAAATCTGAAATCGATAATAAAACAAATTTCAACTTCAAATTAGGGCTTCCACATGCCCATATTCTTCAGAAGATTACATTATTCAAATTTTGATTGCTGTAGGTACCATTGTTTTATCACAGTGTGAGAAGCATACATACATTTATGCAGATTTTTTGTTATTAAATTTCTTTAAATATAAGACAGGGTGATAATATATGGTGGCAATGATATGAAAAGTGATAAAGCCTTTTAAAGTTTTCAACACAAAATGCCAAAATGAAATTAATAGTCCTTCAGGGCAAATTGCCCCTTTGGACTTTAAAAAAAAAATAAATAATAAATAAAAAAAAAATAAATAAATAAATAAAAATATTCAAATAGCTAGATATTTTGTCTGTGTGGTTCTGTGTGTAAAGTTTTGTGTCATCATATGGAAAATAATGTATGATAATCTGAGATAAATGTGCATGATTAATTTTATTGGTGCAGAGACTGAAAACATTTTAAGAATTCTAAAAAGGTTAATCCATTAAAATAGGTGTTTAAATGTCTTTTGAAAGAGGCATGTGCAATAGGCTGATAATAAGCTACCCCTCCCATAAAAAAAAAACTATCCTTTAAGAATCAAATTTTTGAAATTTAATGGCATCAATCGTGATCTGTGTTGTGAAACAACTGCTTTTCATTAGTTTGATAAAATGGGCAAATAATTTGGCAAATATTGTTTCAAATGAAAAATTTTTATTACTCCAAGAAGTGAAACACTATCAAATAGATAGCATTTTTCTTATGTGAAAACAAACAAACAAAATTGATATTGTAAACTTTGGGCTGGAGTATTGAGGCTTAAAGTAGATGGGAAACAGAACTACCTAATATTGAAAATTTAATTAAACTTGTTTTTAAGTTTGCTTCTTTGAATTCACTGTTAAAAGTGTATTTAATTTCATGGTTGTGATTATGATAGTTAGGATGTAGAATATTCTTGAACTTGATGTAAAGCCTGAAGTATTTTTTCTCATTAAAAACAAATGCATGGGAGATTTTTGGATTAGAAAATCTCTAGGCCCTAATACTGAAAATTTTAGGGATAATTTATTGAATAGCTGGATAGCTTGTGAAAATTTTTTATATTCCATGAACCATTCTCTTTTTATTAGCAGTTCCTCATCTGTTAATTTAAACTTTTGTTAAGATACTTACTTCATTTAGATACTTTAGATTCAGATAATTTAATATTTTGTACAAGGAAGCCGTGGTGTACACATCAGATATTTTGTACTTGGGGCACTGTGAGAGCCCTACATGATATGTTGATGATGAGTCACAGCCAGTGACACTTAAAGTTCAGAGAGTGCCCAATGCCCTTTATCAGCAGAATAACGTTCGACCGCACACTGTTCACATCATCCAATGTGCTCTGCAAGGTGTACAGATATTTGCCTGCCCTCCGTTCTTTCCAATCAAACATATTTGGGATGTGATTGGATGACATTTGCAAACCATGTCATTGCCACATTCAGAAGACGAACTGGGACAAATGGTTCATAGGGCACGGAGAGCCATTCCTCATGACACCATCCCTTGTCTCATTGATTCTGTACCTAGGCATGTTACTTCGTGTATTGCTGTCCATTGTGGTCCTACAAACTACTGAGCTGATGCTGTTCTTGCTATGTATTATGCATAATCACTTCAAAATAAATAACACTTATTGTTCATTGCTGCCTCTCTCTGTTAACCGAGTTTCATCCCTTTCTCCCCACTCCTTCTTGGTGTTGCATTTTCAGTGTTGGCTAGTGTATGTTAATACTTTGTGGTTTAAGTGAAAAGTGATTGTCTGGGTCAAAATGGCTTGTTGATCTACTGAACTTTCAATTGTTGGTGAAGAAAAATAATCATGTGGACCTTTTCAGAATTGACCCCCCCCCCTGGAAAGAAAATTAAAAAATTATTTTAAGCAGTGTTGAGAAACCTTGTGAAAGAATGTAAAGCATAAACATAAATTAACATCTGATTAATTTAAAAATTTATAATTTCCACATTTTTAATGAAATTGCTCAAAAATTTGCATATTTGCATACATTTATTTGTATGACATTAATATTCTGAATTGTTAACTTTATGTCAAATTTTTATTAAAAGTTAGTTTACATGATTTTTAAAATGGGAAATCAATTTGATTTTTGAAAAATTTTTGAAATTAATGCTAAAAACAGTCAGCTCTGTTTTTAGCATTAATATATTATTTTTCTAGAGCAGGTTTTTCTCAAACCTTTAGCAGAAGTTACCCTCTTTTGTCATTCTCACGAATTCAGAATTCAGTTTTTTGCAACTTCCTGATTTTATCAGTCATAAATTATTAAATTTTAAATTTTAAATACATGTATAATAAGATTAACGAATTTTATAAAAAATATATTTTAACATTAACTATTCTTTGATAAGGGGAGTTTTTTTTATTTTAATTTTACAAGTATTTGTAAAATTAAATAAAAAAATATTGGACATTTTACAAGTACTCTAAAAAATGCATATTATTCTTAGCACAATAACAATATGCATATGCATTTTAATTAGGCAATAAAAACTGTTGCCTAATTATTCAAAAATAAAATTTTTAACTGTTGTAGGGTCCTCTGTAATTTTATTTGATCTTTCAAAAAAAAAAAAAATGTAAGTCATTGCTTAGAGCTGTAGTGTCATTTTTCTCCAAAAACCTGTATTAAAAATAGTAAACTTGTTTTCATATTTTTAACTTTACTTTTTGTGAATAAATTCTTATGTTTGATAAAAATTATTGAATGATAATAATATTAACCAACTCTTACTTTTTTCTCAGTTACTCCTGTTCTTTCTTTGAGTTTTGAAATAATAGTTGATGTACTTCATTTTGTAAGTGTGAAATGTTGCCCCTAAAGGGCAAATTTTACTATATAACTGATATGTTTTCGTCTAGTAAGATGCGCAAGTCTTCAGACATATGACTAACATATTAAATTTCCTATCCCTCTATTAATTACTGCAGAATGATCATAAAGTTTCAGAACTCTTAATTCAAAAACTTCGGTTAAAATTATTTATGACTAAAAAGAAAGAAAATCTGAAAGGATTCAGATTTTAACATCGCACCAAAAGATTAGTTAAGGTTTTTTATACTTTTGCTGAATATTGCAGGTTACCAATCTACTGTTGAATTCAGGCCTGCTAACACACTTTGTTTATTATTATTATTACACATTACTTTCTTCGCTCTCATAAAATTCAAGAGCAAAATCACAAAATATTTGAAAATGACATATTTTTAGAATTACCAATAAAGTGTTATGGGTTGCCATACCTTTTACATTCACTATATTATTTCTTTGAAAACTAGCCTCTCAAGTAGTCATCCGTTTAAAGGCATTATCATAAAAAAGAAAAAAATGTATAGTAATTTTAACCATTCCAACAAATATTTAATATTTCTTTTTATGCATCTCATTAATTTAGATGCATTTTCATTAAATCAGTTGGATTTAACAGTAAAAATTTATTATTAAGAATTGCATTTTTGCTTTTCAATCACGTGGTTTGCTATTCAGTAACAGAATGTTAAATATGTTATCCTTTATTAAATGGCAATTTGCTGGTGCATGGAGATATTCTGTTTGAGGCAGTGACAACACATTGCTTTCAGATTGTTGAATTTGTGGATTAAAATTGGAAGATAAATATTATATATTTTGCTAAATTGCAACAGTCTGGTGTAGTGATGAGGAAAATGTTTTATTTTGAACATTGTTACCTCTTCTTGTTTTTAAATTTCTGAATTTGTTAAAAAAATCATTAAATATCTACAAATATGAAATGAATCAAAAACAAATTAAAATTCTGACTCTGAAGTTTCTATGTTCTGGTGGATGACTACAAGTATTAAAAATTTGGGGGTTCTAGGTGCCATCATTTGTTCACAGTGCAATGAACATACATATATCCATACAGATCATTCATCATTTAATGTTGTTTTTAAATAATACATCGTGATAACATTTGGTGCCATCAATCTAAAAAGTGATTCAGACACGAAGGTGGCTGACTAATGTGCATTTCGAGACTAATAGTACCTTTGGTGCTAATAATATTGTTTACAGGTCTTATAAGTATTATGGCAACTTTGAGGAAATAATTTTAGTTTGAGATCACATCCATATTACAGAGGGCAAAATATTTATGCAGCCCATCTCTTCTTCCCCACATCTAAGCATAGATGATTTGATTTAAACAAATATTTCAGCCCCTTTCAAATTAATATGATTTGGATTTTTAAAATCAATAGTCCTTTAAATATCTGCACAGCTAATTTTCACAAATAATTCATAAATATAGGAGTTGATGAACAAAAAATCTCAGAGTTACCTTTAACAAGTTTTTGCTGTTTTTTATTAGTTAAAAAATATCAACAGTATTTAATTTATTAATATATGCAGCTTACAAGGTCCCATTTAAAAAAAATATCCAGCCTTTGTTCAGGAAAAGTGTAGCTCCTCATTTAGACATCTGAAATACTACAGAATAGACTTCTTGTCATGTATCTTTTCCACTGGTTTCTTCAGTGTTGGGAACATTTCTGGATGGCCTATCTAAAGAATGGCATACAGCTAGATTGCTGTGTTTCTCTTAATTTTAGTATGTGTTTGCTTATGTAGGTTGTTTATCCTGTAGAGTAATAATTTAATTGACAATATAACATAAGTGCATATTATGAGCTTGACGTATCCGTGAATTATGTGTAAGTAGCAATAGTATGTAGTAGAGTTTTTTTGGTCACAACACACTTTTTTTTTTTTTTTTTTAATTTAGAGTTCTGGAACTTTTTTATCATTCTGCGTTTAGCTTTTGCTTATTAAAATTTTGGCCTCCTGTGGCGTTAATCTAAGCCCCACTCACTTTGCCAGGCTGCTTCTCCTATGTGTTTTTTGGGACTTGATCCAGATGAGCTGAAAGCCGTTAATCGATATGCAGAGAGCACAAAGTCTTTATCCTTTCTGCCACAGGTCCATGAAAGGCAGACGGCCCGAATGCGGACACGCTCTGAGTGGTTTCTCAACCCTTCTCCTTGTCCCTCGCCGACTCCCTTTCATGTTCCACCGGAGATTGACGAGAATGAAGAAATTGCATTCAAGGTAGTTTTTTTGGTTATTTCTGATTATTAATTATGGATGTATTCTACATGATTTGTTAAATATTTTATTCACATACGTATTTTGTGAAAATTTTTAATTCTTTGCTCTCTGCTAGTTTAATAACCTTAATTTTAATTCAGGGCGTAATTGCTGTCATGAAACAACATATAGTCAGTAAGATCAATTTAAAAAAAAAAAAAAAAAAGTATGGAATTTTGGTAGAAAATTACATTGAAATGTGTCTGGCATCCATAAAATAAAAGATGGATTTTTCATATAATGATTCGCTAAGCAATGTTGAATTTGGTTTTTCTGTGAATGTCTTAAATTGTTTTAACTGCTGAAACTGTAATAATAGTTTCTGCAAAATATGCATGCGCATTGAATTCATAAGTTGATGAAATCCTCATAAAATATAATTAATTATTTTTTGTTGAAAATATTAATGCTAATTTTTCTACCAATAAAATAGATGCAGTTTTTAACAGTTCCACGTTGGATACCGCATTTTTCCAAGTTATGTTCATTATTACAATGAAGATTTGAGTGTTAAGATTTTATTATTCTCATTTCTTAAAAAAATCATTCTAAAATTTTTTTAGTAATCTTGAGTACCATTTTATCTCTTTGCATCATTTAAGATAATTATATCTAAATTAATATTTGAAAAATCTATGCAATCCAGAACATCTTATGACAAGAACACTGTGTTCAGAAAGTTCCCAGATCTCATAGATCAGATTTGTTTGAAATGTGAGAAACTGTTATGTAGTTTTCTTTCAAGTAGCATCTGTTGGAATTTATATACTCATTCCAGTGCTCCTCACTTCTTTTGAAAGCATTGGAAGAATGCCATTTTTTAGTACCTCTCATAGGTTGATTACATCTTTGGGTAGCTTGAATTGTTAAAAACACTGACTCCATAGAACCATGTTTATAAATAAAAAAACAGTGCAGTATTTCATAACTGTCTAGTGCTGTGTGCGTGCATGTGATGATTATTTATTGTTGTTGTTTATGTAACTACAGTTTACAATATTTGCATGTAAGTTTATTATAATTCCAGGTATTGAAATCAAAATAAAAAATTATGTTTCATCAGAATAAGACTTTATTTCAATCTGGAAGTTCCATTTATAAGTAATTGACTTTGTAGTAGTTATTTCAAGTTAACTACAAAATGAATACAGTGCTAAAAAAATTTGTCTGGTTTTTCATACTTCTCTATTGTTAACCCTTTAAATGTCAAGTTATTTTGATGATTTGGGTGCATAAATTGTGAATTTTTTTATTGCAAAAATGAAATGTTTGCTGCGCAATCAAAAAAATTGCTGTGCACTTTGAACATAAACCTCTATCCTTTGAAACCTTCAGTGAAGTGCTGCATCTGTTGAATTTAAGCCGAAATAAACTTCCCATGATACATAACAATACAACACACTAAAAATGCCAGACACATTTCAATGTAATTTCAAATATGGGTATAACAATACAACACACTAAAAAAAAAATTACCCTGAGTGATTCTTGGGCATGGCATTTTTGAATACCAGTGTTTCGAGCATGACAGTTAAAAGGTTAAGTAGTTGCTTGTGTGACATTATTTTCATGTGAATGAATGGCAGTATGCAATTATAGCTGATCTTCTTAAAATGTTTATTAAAATATTAAGAAAGAACCATTAAGTATTGAAACAAAATTGAAGTAAGATTAGACAGTTCATTATGTACAAGAAGAAAAGATACTGAAAATGGGAATGATCAGAATAGACAATAGTTCATTGGATTAAAGAAATGTGCAATCAAAAGGAATACAAGCTTTTCTAAATAATTATTTTAGTATGTTAATATACCTATTTTATATGCACAAAAATATTGCTTTTTGCATGCAAGATATAGTTAATGTTTTGTTTCTGAAGACCCTCAAGGAATGGACGATTTTTATGAAAAACCCACTTTTCAGGTAATGTGTTGGACAACTTTTAATATAAAAAGCATGCCAGCTATCATTTGGTTGGATGTCATAAAACCAAATTTATGTGCTTTTTCTATCATAATCCTAAGTGTTGGAGCTGTAGATAGAACTTATTAAAAGCAACTTCTATAATCTAGAAATGAAAGTTGTGCCAAGCACTACATTGTGAAAAATGTTTCCTCATCTATTAATTTCTAATTAATAGAGTTATTCCTATATAAACTGTATGCTCTGAAACAGTTCTATTATTTTAGTCAGAGAAAATCCTATGATATGTTTGTTCTCGGTCCTTTTCTGTGTAATATGATAGTAATGCAATACAACTTTGAAATGGTGTAATTATAATAAACAGACTTTAAAAGGTAAATTTTATGTGTATTCAACCTTCAAAGAGTAAAGTAAGTATTTGGCATAATTGTTGTCTTGTACCGGAGCTTATGTGGAGGATAATAATGTTTTTAAAGAAATTTTGCAGTATTTTGTGCTAGATATTTAAAAGATTTATGCAATATTCCATGCATGGACAGTTTTTATTATTATTTGGTTTATTAATTCTTTGCTGTAATTGGTATGTATTATCATTTGTACTGTTACATGATTATTGCATTCATGCATGTTGCTGATTTGTAAGAAATTGCATTGCAAAAATAAACCTGTGTTGTTCGCATTGACAAAGTTTGCTATTTGATGGACTTAAACACTAGCAGTGACAATGATTAATGGATTTCAGTAGAATTATTTTGTGTGAGTTAAATGTGTCACATAAGGAAATATTATAAAAGCCTTCCTTCTTGGGCAGATAGTCCTCATCTTGTTCTCTTTGTAACTGTGTTTGTCTTAATGTTTTGTTAAGTAACTTATTCATCTCAAAAATCAACAGTAAATGGTCAAGCTACTTAATAGGTTAGTATCATCAGTTGAATGGAGAATAAATACCTGTAAAATGCTAATGATAATTTTAGGATGCAGTTACAATAGATTATATTTTCACCAAGTGGGTAGCCTCTAAGCATTTTCTGATCTCATGTTGTCTCTGGTTGGTATGCAATCATAGCATTTAAACAAATTCAGTTGGAGTATTAATCAACTCGAAGTGCTGCAACAACATCTTCTTTGCTCTTCAAGCTTCACAATTTCTGCATCAGTTCTTAAATTTAAAATCCAATTTCTTAAATGTACTTTAAAATTTAAAATACATACAGTAAATTCATATATCTGCATAACAATATTTTCCTGGGTGGGTTATATGTATTCATGTATTTTACAGGAAAAAAATTAATCCGAATTACATATGCATGTTTATGCTGATCGTTATGTTATCTGGCTCAGATAGTGAGATGCCGTTCCCAAAAATCCTCTGCATGCAGTTTATCATAACTAGATGTAATAGTATAAAGTTTTAAAGAGTGCATACTCTCAGATCTGTGCCAAATCACTATGTTGAAGCAAAGCTCTTCTGCATCAAGAGGTAAGTTTAGGCAAAGCGAATTCAATGTTCTCTTTTGCATAGAGAACATTGAGTAGATACATTATTATGTATGATATATGATTGGGTCTTCCCAAAAGTTCTACCATTTTTCAAATCAAAATGTGTTTTCTTATAGTTATTTTGATACTACTAAATATGAAGTGACCTTTATTGAAGCAAATGTGTAGGCATGGACTTTTCTGCTTATGTTGCATAATTGTAGCAAGTGTTGTGGCATAATTTTTGTTTTAGTACAGTGCTAAGACTAGAGAGCCCCAAAAATCATGTTCATTATGTCATGCTGTTTTATTTTTAAAAAAGGCTAGTCGGACTGTTTGTAAAATTTGTGCTGTATATGGGCAAAGTGCTGTTTCTGATGAACAGTTCGAAGGAGGTTTAAGAAGGCTAAGCACAAAAATTTCAGCCTCAGAGATGATGTCAGTTCAAGAACCTGTTAAAAGAAACAGTTTCTGAAAATCCATCTTATACAGTTCAGAAACTATCAGACAGAATAATAATCTGTACAGTACAGTACATGAGCATTTGAAGACAAATAGGACTGCATTTTGAAGAAGAATGGGTAAATGATGTATAGGTACCCTACAGAGTAGAATATGTTTGCTCAAATTTCAGCATGTGATTCTTTGCTGAAACGAAATGAAATACTTTTTTTTTAATTTGCTTGTTACTAGAAATGAGAAGTAGAGGCTGTGTAATAATATAGTAAGAAAAATATTGTGAGATAAACCCAATGAACCTCCTTTAACAACTTTGCAAGGGGCCAAATAGCATTCAAAAAAGTAATTATTTGTATAGTATTAACCAGGGCTGTGGAGTCGGTAGGGAAAATGACCAACTCCGGCTCCTAGAATATTAATGACTCCGACTCCTTCATATATATGTAAACATATACACAGGGGTACAGCTTATTTTTTTAATATAAAAGAAGTAATAGATGCTACAGAAAAAAATTGATGCATAGCAAATTTTTTATATTAGTTAGCATTTATTATGAAATGGAAAAACTGACATTAGTAATTTCTAAGAAACAGTAAAATTTTGGCAAGATCTTCTTTGTTAGAGGACCATAGATCCAATTTGATAAACTTCAGAACTGAGAAGTCTTTCCACACTGACTTGAGTAGGAAGAAGAGCTGTTACTGTTAGGGCTACTTCCTTTAACTTTTCAGAATAGATTTTTTTTTTTTTTTTTTAAAGTTCTAAAAAAGGTGTCTTGCAAGAACAATCATATTTATCTATTTCTTCAAAGGCCGTGTATAAATCTTGTTTGTACTTTTTCATTTTCATATCTAAAGGCTCTTGGATATTTATTTTCATTCGCTTTGCCTTAGCCTTTTCAATATTATCCAAATACGAAATCTAATTTTTCAGTGGAAGAGGATAGTAGAGACTCAGTTGCAATATCTGCAGTTTGACTGTCCTGATTTGAATACTCCAGTCGTTCTAAGAATAATTTCATTCTTAATGAAAGTTCATAGATGGCTTTCTTTGCCTTTTTAATTTGTTTATCATCCAACAAAATTCGGCGTTTTGGATCTACATATATTGAACCCAGCACGATCTTATTATCTAGCGAACTAGT